TACCGGTTTTAATACCGGTATACCGTTATTTTTCTTTAATAAACCGGTTTTTTTAATATGATATTGTTTGTGATATATACCTATATACTGATATCTCAATTGCAATATCGATAAACCGATGAGTTAAAAACAAAAAAATAAGTTAAACTGGTTGCATAACATTAATAGTAATACATAACCTATTTAATATGCACTTCAATAAATTACTTTTATTGATGAATGAAGTTTTTCATATTTTTTCGTAACGAAAAAAGTTGAAAAAACAAATTTGCATAATTACACCATTACTAATATTCCTTGGCTTTCCAGACTTTTCCCTTCAGATAATAACCACCGCCTGCCTTTTGCGCGCTGAAAGTCGGCCACGAAACTTTCCGTGATAATACCACAGAAATCTCTCACGTTTGTCGCTGGCATTAGCTACCGACATCACCATCATTAATTAAACAATATCTCCCTGCCTCCTTTGTAGGTTATGTGTCAACATAACCTCCACATATAACCTCTGAAAACAATTTTTTCTCTCGGCTGACGTGTGAAACGTGAAAGGCGAAAGTGTACGAAAAGTAACACACACATATAAAAAAATACCGTGCTTGTGTGCGCGGAGGAATATAATGCCGAAAAAACGAGTGCGCACCGCTGATAAAACTACAAATGCGTGCAAATGGCGCAAGTTGGCATCTTTCGCATTTGCCGCAAAGACCTACTGCGCGCGCGAAGCCCGTGAAAACTGAAAAGTGCTAACGACTTACGACTTACCTCTGGTGGTCGCACTCCGGTCGCATCACGCACCACGGCACATACACGCCACAGTTTTAGAAAATAATCTTCTTGGGAAACTCCAGTGGCTTCGGGCTGATGCTGACGTCATCAGTGTTTCGAAAATGTTGCTGAATTACATTTTCAGGGATTGTTGGCAAAATAAACCGATATAGATATAAACTTGAGACAGGGTAGATGAATTTTGAGTTCAATACCGGTATTTTTTTAATGGAAATATCGATATACCGGTAATACCGGTATTTATAAAATAATTAAGTAAAATTTGTAATCGGTATATATCACAAGGAATATCGTATTGTAAAATATCGGTTTTTGAAAGAAAATACCGGTATACCGGTATTAATACCGGTTTTTTTTTAAATACCGGTATACCGGTATTAATACCGGTTTTTTTACAAAAAATTTCAAATTTTGTTCTTTTTAAATTGTATTAACTAATAATTAACAATTTTTGTTTATTTCTAACCTCTATATCAATTAATTTTTAACCTTAAAATATATTAATTTGTTACTTCTTCCACAACCAGAGGGCGCTAGATCCCCAATTTCTCTTCAAACATTAAAATTTCTTTAAATTTTTCATAATTTTCTCTCTAAATTGAGTAAAAACTAAAACTTAATCTACAAATCGATATAACGCTAAGTCCCAAACAAAATTCCCTAACCCTAACGACCTCAAATAATTGAATAGTCGTTGCGCTGGCGGCTGCAGAGGCGGCAGTAAAGTATACAGCATAAAAGTATAATCACGACAATGCGGCGGCGTAGTGCAGCAGAAATATCCGGCCGTAACATTGTTTGGCATAGTTCGGAAAAAGGACGAGGATTTAATGAAAATGAAAACATGATGGCACGGGGATCGTAACGCGCTCTGCCGCATCGTCCGGATAAAACGTGAAACAAAACGACTCCAGCTCCAGCTCCGACTCCAACGTAGAGCTGCTTCGTGTCTCGCACGAAATGAAATCGAATCGGGGAAATCAACTTGTTCACTGAGATTACCACAAAACTCAAGATTCAAGATTCACGAATCTCTCAACATAAAAAATAAAAAAAAGTAAACATAACCACAAGTCTAAAACATTTGCATTACAGATTTCTGTAATTACAGTTTTCTTCTTTTATGATAAAAAATTATTTTTCATGTTTAAATCGTTTGAAACACTCGAATTATTGACCCGAGTGCTTTGAAAAGTATAAAATATAATGAAGGCATTAAAAAGCTCACAAATGGCGGGCGCATTTACATTTTTATCGAAGTCTGATCGAGATTCCGATACAATTAATATTTATTCGCGTAATAACCCAATTAGAATGCCGCTTTCATCTCGCGTTTGTCGATGGCGCCTTTCAATGCATAGATTTACAGCGTGCGCGTCTCAATCGAAACGATCGAAACCTCGAAACGTCGAAACTGATCGTCTGTGCGCGCCACGGCTAATTACGAACGAGCGTCAGTCAGCGTGGGGGATTAATCAAGGGCTTAATTTGCGCCGCAAATAATCGCATCGGGATAATTGGAATTTGTTTCGAATGATTATGTAGTGACATTGATATACACCATCATCACATCATTTTCGGCTTATGTTCCGGGCAATTCCTGTCAATTTACTGTAATTGTACATTAAATTGATTAAATTCTACACTTTAACAATGAGAAAATAGATTATATTTGAGGTTAGGTGCGGTTTAGTGCATTTAGTTGTTTATAGATGGCGTTGTATATTGGTTTGACATGTCTTTTACGAGGAAAGAAAAATTTTGAGTTCAATACCGGTATTTTGGTATTTTTACACCAAAAAAAAACCGGTTAACCGGAAATACCGGTATTAAAAAAATATTATTTTTTATTTTGTTAAATTTGTTAATATTTTTATTCTAAAAAAATCGGTTTTTGAAGGAAAAGTACCGGAAAAATACCGGTATTAATACCGGTATATACCGGTATTTCTAAAATTAATTTATATTATATTTCTATATTTTTAAATTTAATTTTTTAATAAAAACATATCGGTTTATAAAAAAAATACCGGTATACCGGTTTTGATACCGGTATGTTTTCACCCTCTCTATGTCTTCTCTTTACGATCTGTGAATTTAGGAATTCCAACGCATAGCGATCCGTTTGATTATTCCAAACACGTGTTCTTCATATAATCAACCGTCCCACAGTCGCCGCCGCCCTTTGCCGCCGCCGAAATAGTGCGCGACTATTCTATAGTCCCCCCAATACACGCGCAGAATACGTCGGGGACTTCTACACTTCAAACATCTTCATATTCGAGTGGTGTGTTGGGTGTTACATACCTTTCTCCCCTCCCTTCTTTGGGCAAACGGCAAATATTGAAAAGGCTATTGCCATCGCCATTTTCTCGACCGATCCGCGCGTCGTCTTCGTGTCGACTTCATGTTGTGTGTCTCTTTAGCACCTCGAGAATGCTGCAATTCGTGGACTTTGGACCTTGGACCTTGGACCTGCATTAGTGAATTCGACAGCGGCGAAGCGCACCGCATAAAATGGAATGAAATGGAATAAATGGAATAAAATCTAATGGAATAGAATATAATAGAATAGCATGAAATAGAAAATGGACTTGTGGGGATGACTCTTCAATTTTTACGGTTTTGTATTCAATCATCATAAAATTATTCGATGAAAGTTTTTGGAATTTTTTATTTTTTTCTTCATAATTCAAAAACTATAAAACTTACACATTTGATTTTTAGTGACAATAATCTTCATTAAATACACTTTGGAATAACGTTTGAATTAATATTTTATCTCTTTAATTACCTGAGTTATTAGAGTTTTAAAAATCAACAAACATTTTTTAAAACGTAGGCAACACATGTAGCATGTTGTGAATGTAACCTTGTTTTTGTGTTTACAAAACAATCAGTTTTGGGCCACGTAAAGACACCGTAACTATATTGTTATCCGTAATAATATAAAAATGATAGAGAAACAATTGAATCTCCCAACTGATAAATCAAATTTGTGTCATATTGCGAGATTGTCCTATAGATTGTGCAGAAATATATTTTCCAAAGGTAACAGTGTAAAATAAATATGCTTGTGTGAATGTGTGCTGGTGTGGGTGTGGGTGTGAAAGGGGAAGAAATTGCATGGTGTATTTCGATCGAATAACAGACGGCGAGAAATAAATTTCACGCGACAAAGCGTACACTCAGCGCGCAAACGTTGCAAAAGAAACGTCGAGAATCAAACAATTCTATCGAAAATAAATACAATAAATGCAATCAATACAATAGTAAATATATAAATAATAGGTATGATGCATGATGTGCTTAGTGAAAAATATTTGTTTAATGAAATTTGAGTCATGAAATTTAAAATATGCATTAAGTGGAAGAGTTCAATACCGGTATTTTTTTAATGAAAATATTGGTAGGCCGGTAATACCGGTATTTATTAAATAATTAAATAAATTAAGTAGTAATATTTTCAAATTTGTAAGTTTGCTAAATAAAAACATGCAAAGATAATTGATTAATTGCAGATTAATTCTTAAATTGGTAAATGAGTCAATCTTACAATGTTAATTGCCACTGTCGAAGTATTTATTTGATATTTTCGGATTTGATGAATGTTTAGCATAAAAGAAAACATTATATCTGAAACTACCCATGATGAACCTTTTTTGTTGATCTTTAAAGTTTAAATTGACTGCTGTGTTGCAGATTTGGGAAGTTTTCATAATTACGACATTTGTTTTTAACTCATATGTTTATCGATGTTGCAATTGAGATATCGGTATACCGGTATATATCACAAGCAATATCATATTGAAAAATACCGGTATTTGAAAGAAAAAATACCGGTATACTGGTATTAATACCGGTATTTCAAACTTCTAGAAGTAATTTCCATAAAAATGCGAGTTTAATAATAACAAACTGAAATTCAATTAACAAACAAATCATTGTTGCATACCATATAAACATTTGAAATAATATCTATATGAATCTAAATCTATATCTGTATCTATATGAAGTTAGTAAATATTTAAATAACCGAACATACCGTATCTTAATTTACGTGTCATTTAAGTACAAACACATTAACCATACTTTACTCATCAATAAACTTTGATTCTAGTATCTATAACCATATTAAAACACATAACCATATTAGACACATTGCCTTCTGAACTCTAACAACTAATATACTCGTACGTGATTAACTTAAGTTATTAGCTTAAGTTAATGATAACACAACATTACTCACTGATATACTACCATAATATAAAAACCAACAATATTCAATTCTCACTTCATTGTTATACTGCCCATCAAACGTTAAACGTCATACGTCATATGTCAATGTAAGTAAACCTCACTTTTTCAATCTGTCATTAAATCAAAATTAAATAAGAATCAAATAAAAATTGCCAAATTTTCAGTTATCCGACTAAAACTTCCAAAAAATGCATTTAGTAATACTAAAAACATTCCAAGATGTCTCCCACTGGGCAGCATCCTACGTAATGAAGAGAATCAACGATTTTCACCCAACCACAGACAACCCATTTGTCCTAGGATTACCAACAGGCAGCACCCCACTGGGAATGTACCAACAATTGATAAAATTCCACCAAGAAGGCCTTCTTTCTTTCAAACACGTTGTGACCTTCAACATGGATGAATACGTCAACCTTCCAAAATTACACGCGCAGAGTTACCATCATTTTATGTGGACGAATTTCTTCAAACACATCGATATTAACCCGGAAAACGTGAATATACTCAATGGACTATCAAAAGATTTAAATAAAGAATGTGAAAAATACGAGGAGAAAATCAAAGAATATGGCGGAGTGGAATTATTCATTGGTGGAATAGGTGAACACGGTCACATGGCATTCAACGAAGCAGGAAGTTCTTTAACGTCAAGAACAAGAGAGAAAAAACTAGCACATAATACAATCCAAGCAAACTCGAGATTCTTTGATAATATTGAAGATGTACCCAAAAGCGCACTTACAGTTGGAGTAGGGACAATTATGGACGCCAAAGAGGTTATGTTATTAATAACAGGCGCGAAGAAAGCGTATGCGTTGTATAAAACAGTCGAAGAAGGTGTGAGTCACATGTGGACTGCATCAGCACTACAATTGCATCCGAAAGGTTTGATTGTTGTTGATGAGGATGCAACGATGGAGCTTAAAGTGAAAACAGTGAAATATTTCGAAGGATTGGATGAACATATGGAATTTTAGAGGTTATTTTAGCATAATCTAACTTAAAAATAGTATTTTTATCTGTACCTTACTTTCTTCTGGATATTTTTGATGTTTTAATAGTTCGTCTATTATTTGGAATGGTGACAAATCTAAAGAATTAAAGATAATAAAAATCTGTGCAGCCGTTCTTGAGTTATAAGCACTTTTACTTTCAATAGTTATATACACGTATTACATGCGAAATGTTTTGGTACGTTGGTACGTCGCAAGAGCGCGCGGTCGTTTACTCCACTAGAGCCGAGTGTATTAAATAGCACGCCACCTAACAGAGCGTTACACAAATACCTATAACTTAAAACACTGAAACCACGAATAAATATTAAATTTATTCGTTTATTTTGCAATATTTGCATTTATAATGAAATATCACACAATTATATTTGAGTAAATTTGAAATTTCATTATAATAATTATTATTATTGTTGATTAGGACGTAAATGTGAAAACAGTGAATTATTTTGAGCGTTTGGATGAACACTCAGAATTTTACGCTTTTTTTAAGTAATAAAACATTATATCCGCCATCTTGTATGCAAGTATTACTAGTAGGACTCAGGTCATTGTATGAATAGGTGATTTCGTATTCAAAATGCATACTGGTAAACTTTCAAAGAATAATTAAGAATATTTTCAATTTTGAAAGTATGCTAAATAAAGACGTGCAAAAATAATTGATTAATTGCAGATTCATTCTTAAATTGTTAAATGAGTCAATCTTACAATGTTAATTGCCAGTGTCGAAGTATTTATTTGATATTTTCGGATTTGATGAATGTTTAGCATAATAGAAAACATTATTTCTGAAACTACCCAAGTTGAATCTTTTTGTTGCTCTTTAAAGATTAAAGTGACTGCTGTGTCGCAGATTTGGGAAGTTTTCACAATTACAACATTTGTTTTTAACTCATTTGTTTATCGATATTGCAATTGGGATATCGGTATACCGGTATATATTACAAGCAATATTTTTTTGAAAAATACCGGTGTTTGTTACAAAAAATACCGGTATACCGGTTTTAATACCGGTATTTCACACTTCTGGAAGTAATTTCCATAAAATGCGAGTTTAATAAAAACGAACAAAAATTTAATTAACAAATCATTGCACACTTTATAAACATTTGCAATAGAAGTATTTATATGAAATTAGTAAATATTTAAATAATACGAATATTCCGTATCTTAATTTACGTGTCATTTAAGAACAAACACATTAACCATACTTTACTCATCAGTAAACTTTGATTCTAGTATCTATAACCATATTAAAACACATAACCATATTAGACAAACTGCCTTCTGAACTCTAACAACTAATATACTCGTACGTGATTTACTTAAGTTATTAGCTTAAGTTAATGATAACACAACATTACTCACTGATATACTACCATAATATAAAAACCAACAATATTCAATTCTCACTTCATTGTTATACTGCCCATCAAACGTCAAACGTCATACGTCAATGTAAGTTAACCTCACTTTTTCGATCTGTCATTAAATAAAAATTACATAAAAATCAAATAAAAATTTCTAAATTTTCAGTTATCCTACAAAACTATACAAAAAATGCATTTAGTAATACTAAAAACATTCCAAGATGTCTCCCACTGGGCAGCCTCATACGTAATGAAGCGAATCAACGATTTTCACCCAACCACAGACAACCCATTTGTCCTAGGATTACCAACAGGCAGCACCCCTCTGGGAATGTACCAACAATTGATAAAATTCCATCAAGAAGGTCTTCTTTCATTCAAACACGTTGTGACCTTCAACATGGATGAATACGTCAACCTTCCAAAATTACACGCGCAGAGTTACCACCATTTTATGTGGACGAACTTTTTCAAACACATCGACATCAATCCGGAAAACGTGAATATCCTCAATGGACTATCAAAAGATTTAAATAAAGAATGTGAAAAATACGAGGAGAAAATCAAAGAATATGGCGGAGTGGAATTATTCATTGGTGGAATTGGTGAGCATGGTCATATGGCATTCAACGAAGCAGGAAGTTCTTTAACGTCAAGAACAAGAGAGAAAAAACTAGCACATAATACAATCCAAGCTAATTCAAGGTTTTTTGATAATATTGAAGATGTACCCAAAAGTGCACTTACAGTAGGTGTAGGGACAATTATGGACGCCAAAGAGGTTATGTTGTTAATAACAGGAGCGAAGAAAGCGTATGCGTTGTATAAAACAGTCGAAGAAGGTGTTAGTCATATGTGGACTGCATCAGCACTACAATTACACCCGAAAGGTTTGATTGTTGTTGATGAGGATGCAACGATGGAGCTCAAAGTGAAAACAGTGAAATATTTCGAAGGATTGGATGAACATATTGAATTTTAGAGGTTGCGTTAACGTAATTTAACCTAAAAATAGTATTTTTATGTGTATCTTACTTTCTCCTGGATATTTTTGATGTTTTAATAGTTAATCTATTATTTGGAATGTTGACAAATCTAAAATATTAAAGATGATAAAAATCTGTTCAGGCGTTCTTGAGTTATAAGCACTTTTACTTTCAATACATGCAAAATGTTGTGGTACGTTGGTACGTCGCAAGAGCGCGCGGTCGTTTACTCAACTAGACTCGCGTATATCCAATTGAACGCCACCTGACGGAGCATTACACAAATACCTATCACTTAAAACACTGAAACCACGAATAAATATTAAATTTGTTCGTTTATTTTGCAATATTTGCATTTATGATGAAATATCACACAATTATATTTGAGCAAATTTGAAATTTCATTATTATTATTGTTGATTAGGACGTAAATGTAAAAACAGTGAAATATTTTGAGCGTTTGGATGAACACTCAGAATTTTACGCTTTTTTAAGTAATAAAACATTATATCCGCCATCTTGTATGCAAGTATTACTAGTAGGACTCAGGTCATTGTATGAATAGGTGATTTCGTATTCAAAATGCATACTGGTAAACTTTCAAAGAAAACAAATGGCTTATGCAAATGCACCGGCGTATATTTTATATATTTTTTCTTTTTGTGTGAGTTTTAGACTTTGAACCTTCAGAATAAAACGGGATCTGTTCGTGACATTCAAAAAAATGAAAAAAATATATTCATGCATCCATCTAGCGGATAACATCACAACTATTCATATAAACATAACCTTGAAATTTATAAGTTTTTAAAGTTTTACGTTAAAAGTTTTTTTTGTGACTTTTTGTGTTTTTTTTTGTGTAAGGCAAGTTCGGTTGGAAAATTGCTTGAGCTTTGCAGGTTGTGGGTACGGTGAAAGCGTCGAGATTTTAAGCAAATCGTGCAGAATCTAAAAGCTCCAGCGGTTTTCCGTTCGTATAGCTTCGGCGTACGCAAACGCAAACGTGCGAAAACCACGAAAACTATAAAATCTCTCTTCGGCTGCGTCCCGCCACGGCTTTACTCGAACCGGAAGCGGAAGCGTGTGCATTTTCAGCCGCACGTTATTGAGTAATAAATTCACAATTGCTTTCGGTTTTTTTTTACATTCTGCATTCTGACGCGCAGATGTTACACACAAAGAGTCACAATCAATGTAGGCAACCAAATATACAAAAAAAAAAACATAATATTGTAGGTTATTTTATTATTTTACTCTTATTTGATTTTATTCTAAATGTTTTGTGTTGATTTGAGTTTGCAAGTGTTCGCAGTTGGTCACAAATGTTTTTACGAGCCATTTTGGCGTGTTTTGTGGCCACAATACGACGAAAGCAACAAGACAATTTGCAATAAACTTGCAATAAACAAAATTCTATTTTAATTCGGTGCGCGTATTTGTCCCACGCTGTTTTTATCACTTTTTATACAGCATTTTTTGTTTTTTATCAAAAAACTCTGTTTTTATGTGTAAATATTCTGTTTTTACGACTTTTGTTTACTGGTAGATATTTTATACATCATGATGAAGAAGAAAAAAGTCTTAAAATATGTATTAATTATATAGGCAACCAATTATGCATGATATAATATAAGCTGTATAATTGGTTGCCTACAAAGTTTTCATATTAAAATTATAAAAACGTGAATTTTAGATTGAAATTTCGCAAATTTGAATAAAGTGAATGTAAATTAATATTAGCGCACGCTGATACAATATCTTGATATCAATCTGGCTGCATTCATCCGAAAAATCTAAAAATCTGTGCGTAAAAAGACTCAAGTATTATATTAAACTTGTAAAAGTTGACGAAGAGAAGAGACTCCTCCACTTTACTCTCGAGTGAAGAGCCGACTTTCCATATCTATACATCGCATTAGGCCACCGTTTGCTGTATATCATCAAAAACTAATTTTAATATTTTACAATTCGGGCTGAGACGAAGCGCAGCACGCAATATAAGCGCGGCTGGATGGAGTGTAAGTCGCGATGTGAATCGACTTGACTCGAAGCGAAGTTTAATACTTTCCGCAAGTCGCGGGTTTTGGGACCGAAGACCGAAATGGAAAAGTGGAAAACTCGGCGATGGCGGAGCGAGCGAGTAAGTAGTAAATCCCCATGTTGACTCTGATCTAGACAAATTTCCCAGCCGCTCGAATGAACAAACCGACTTACTGTTGGCTTCGCGAATGCTTCGGCTTTTTGAGGAATGGGGATTGCGTATTCAAATGTTTTCTATGATGCGCACCGTTTGTCATTTTTAAGGTTTCATAAGGTAGGCAACTTAATACACATAATAAAACTTGTTATTTATCAAAATTTAACCTTAAAAACATTTAAAAACAGCAAAAAATGAAAAAAATCAGTTTAATTGAATTTGTGCCATGGTAGGCAACTTAATATACACCAAAATAATTGTTATTTATTAAATTTAACCTAAAAATTATTCAAAAATAACAAAAAACTATTTTTTAATGAATTTAATTTAATTTCTTAATTTTCTATTAAAAATTTCATCAAAAAATGTCCAAAAATTAACTTTTAAATTGAAGTATTACTAACGCCATCTATACTTCACTTTTCATACTAATTTACTAATACGTAACCTATATTTTCAACTTTTAACTTACACGATATAAATTTTCGTAAATTGTGCGCGTAGAGTGTATGTTACCGCAACCGATGGAAGTTGGGAGCGTATCCACGGTTGGCACCGCCACAACCGATGCCGCCCCCGGCGCGGAGTAAGTGAACACACGCTAATTCGTTACTAATCTGAAAAGCCACATTTCTCGCGCTGCCGTTGATGCGGCGAGCGCGGCAAACTTTCCGCCGCCCCCGCCATCAGTTCTCACATCGACGTGCGCGCGTAAACGTAAGGGATGCGCTCCATCGTATCTGCGTATTTTCGTATTAAGCGTGCCGTGCTGAGAATTGGGGAATTGGGAGCGCGCGGAAATCTAATTTCGACGAATAGACACGCCACGTCGGTTGATTTCATTAATGCACACAAGTTAATTTATAGTTATTTAAGAGGGAAAAGATGGAAGATAACGTCAAGGGAGTAGACACAGACTTAACATAACCTTGAAAAATGGTTTTTTATGTTTACCTTGTTTTCTGTTGGGTATTTTTGATGTTTTGATAGTTGATTTACTGCGGGAAATGTAGACGAATCCAATGAATTAAAGATGATTGAAATCTGTCCAGCCGTTCTTGAGTTATAAGCACTTTTACTATTTTTAGTTATAGTCACGGATACAAGCGAAGTATTGTGGTACGCTGGTACATCGCAAGAGCGCGCGGTCGTCTACTCCACTTGACTCTCGTATATCCGATTAAACGCCACCTAACGGAGCGTTATGAAAATACCTTTCACTTAAAACACTGAAACACGGATATATATTAGATTCATTCGTTTATTTTACAACATTTTCATTCATAATGAAATAACACTGAATAATATTTGAACAAATCAATTCAATGATTAATAATAAAGACAATAATATGCGCAATTTAAATACGCCCTCATATGTTATATATTACAAATATAATAATAATAATAATAATAATAATAAATTTGACATTTTGTCAATAAAACCAAACATATCCCTAATCAAATTGATATTATACATTTTATAATTTTAATATTACTGGAATTAAACCACAAACAATGCTAATAATTTAATAATAACACTAATAATACAAATAATGTAACACGAAATAAATTCCAACGCCATTAATAAAGTATTGAGTTACGATTGTCGATAATAGCGATAAAATAATAGCCTGAGCTCACAAACAAATATAAAAACAGAGTATTGTTGTATTTTGAGCCCAAACTTTGTATTTTTTGTTTTATTGTGATATTTGTTTTAACAAACGCAATCGGACGGTGGCGGGCAGCAAACCCACCGTAAAATAAATATTATTTCAATAATTCGATTCGATAAAAATCCAAAAACGCGAAAAAACGTAATTTTAAACATTTTCTTTTACAATACAACCAATTTTTCATGTTTTTCATGTTTTTCATGTTTAAAACGTCCATTTACCTAATAATTTTCATTCTTTCAATTTTTCTTACGCGTTAATTAATTATTTAATATTTTTATATGTACTTTATACAAACATCAGTCCGGATTAATTTAATTTAATTTTTCTTTTCCGTTTTTTTTTGTTTTTCAAAGTCCAAATTCATGCGCTCACGCTGTCAATGCGTTCGTGTTAAAATCTAAATATCACAAAGTGGTGGTCCTACTGACGATCGCGTCCGGTAGTGTCCTCGTCACCAGGTCCGGATTGTTCGGACTACCAATATCACAATCGAACTTCCACAAGATCTTCTCTTGTCGCTGATGGTTATGGCAATCGGCTGTGTTTTGCGGCGCGCTGCTCTGGACGACGTCGCACGCCAGATGCCGGCCGAGTGTGGCGTATTTCACCACATCGCTTGGGTTACTATTATTGCCGCCACCCCCGGTGGGTGGCACATTCGGCGGTGGATAGTACGCTGTCGGGCGGTAGACATGGCTAAGCGTGGCGGCTTTCTGACGCGCATTCGACGGCCCACCGCAACAGTCGCGGATCGAACTCGTCGAACAGCCGGCGAATGTTAACCCGCCGCCCCCGGCGCAGCCATCGGCGATTGCGTACAGTTTACGCTAGGTGTCGACGTCGTAGTTTATTATCGGGGATTTCTTTAGGTCCATCATTGGTAAAATTACACCTTCCTGTGTTTATTATGTATAATGTTTAACATAGGCAACCAAATATACTTATGAGTTAAACTTACCCCATTTAGATGTGGCAGGTCTAGAGCGGCTGGGACGTACGTGGTTGCTGGACTGCATCTGGTGCACGAGCGACGTAATGCAGGTCTTTGACGTGAGCCGTGACATCTAACGGCAAAGCGTAGTTCTTCCGCCATTTCGGAACACAGGGACTGACGATCTGTCTGTGCATTCTTTTTGCTATTCCAGCAGAATTCCAAGATGGCGACGAGTATTGCCAGTGCTAATCCACATAATAATACTACAAACACGCCACCTAGTGGTGAAAAAAACAAAACAAACATTAATAACCTCAATTTTACGTGAAATAAAAAAAACTAACCTATATTTTCAACTCCTAGCGCATTAGCCTTTGATTCTTTACTTTTATCATCGCGATTACACACGTCACCGGTATTTTTCCACCATTTATCATATAATATTTGAATTACGCCTTTTTCTTGAAGTTCCAAGATGGCGAGTGAGATTTTATCCCTCCATGGACTGCCTTTAGGTGTAGCTATGCCATAACCTTTCGAATCTAACAAACCGCCGATTTGTGTGAGGTTACAATCACGTTGCACTGCGTAATCCAACATGGTGGACTCCATTAAAAACGCGTAATTTCCTTCAAGGACACGTTGGACGCCTTCTTCGTATGATGGTACAAACACTGGCGGTTGTTTACTCTCCATGAATCTCCACATTTTTTGATAGATGCCTATTTTTGAATCCTATTTGTAAAATTAAAAAAAAATGTTTTAAAAAAACTAACGCCATCTATCGGTGGATAATATTATTATACCCGAAAGAACGTCATAGTGCTGCCACCTTCCAGTGTACCATACGAGATGTCCGTTTGTTCAGCAAAGTCCTGCGCGCTCTCTATCGGCGTAATCATGCGTTCAACTGTCAGAAACGCAGCGAGATTCGCTGTGTATGATGAGATAATGATCAGAGTGAAGAACCACCAGATGCCGCCGACGATGCGTGTTGATGTTGCCTATGTTGTTAATAGTAATGCAAAACATTTACAATGGTATAACCTTAAAAATTTTCAGTTTTTTTTGTTTGTTTTTGCGTATTCTAGGTGGAAATGTACTTCTGGCGTATAAACACAAACACAAACACCGCATGATTGCGATTTTAAATATGGATGCTAGTTTTATCGCTTAAGTGTGCAATTTATATTCAGAATGACATTGGCATTGAGCTGGTTTTTCATAGTTGGGCATAGCGACGAAGCGTTGAAGGCAAATACAAAACAAAAGAGGCGATTACTTTTTCTAAAGATTACAGAAAGCACTGGCTTTGGTAGTTTACTCGTACTCGTAATCTGTGAGTGAATAGCGTGGAATATAAAAAAACAGATGTAAAAATGTCAGGTTTTATAAAAAAGTGTATTAGAAGTTTAATACCGGTATTTCGCTATTTTTAGAATATCGGTATTCAGTAATACAGAATTTAAAAAAAAATAATTTTATTGTTTTGAAAAAAAAACCGGTATTTGAGAATAAAAATACCGGTATACCGGTATTAACCGGTATGAATACCGGTATTTTTTAAATCAAAATATCGTTAAATCTGTAATGCTAGTAGTTATAAAATTAATTTTTATTGGACCAAAAAACCGGTATTGGATAATAAAAATACCGGTATACCGGTATTCTGAAACCGGTATTTTTTAAATCAAAATATCGATTTATCGATAATACTAGTATTTATAAAATTAATTTTTAACGTACCAAAAAACCGGTATTGGATGAAAAATGCCGGTATACCGGTATTAACCGGTTCGAATACCGGTATTTTTTAAATCAAAATATCGTTATATCGGTAATGCCAGTATTTATAAAATAAATTTTTAATATACCAAAAAACCGGTATTGGAATGAAAAAATACCGGTATACCGGTATTAATACCGGTATTTTTTAACCCAAAATCGCAAATTATATCAAATTAAAAAGTATCAATATTATAAACCAAAAATACCGAAATACCGAAATACCGTTTTTTTTTTTAAGTTAAAATATCACTTTTTTAAACAAAAACGTTTCCTAATGTCCTCAGACATTCCCAAAACAAATCGAGCAAAACTAAATCACCAGCAACCCCGCTGTGTTCCAACCCCACTTGGACAAACTCGACATTTCCGTGGAACCTGACATTTGCAACTTTACCCCGGGTGCATCCGTCTGCACCAAGCCTCTAGCCAGCGCTAAATTCGTCGAGTTTGCTGGCACGCTACCCGAGAGCACTAAGCACAATTGTCGCATGTCGATATCAAGCCGAGAGAGCGGGGTTGTAATGCGGACGACATCCGCTACCTTCGGATTCAAATCCGAGCCCTGCTGCATTAGTGTGCCGATGGCGAACCAGAAACTGTTGGCGATCGTAAAGTCATTCTCTAACATTTCCAGCGTTGCAGGCGCATGATGCCCATCCCCATTGGAATGTAACAGACATGTCCCAGCAGCCACAACCACTTCTTCATCACTTTCTTCAGCATGCTGACAATGATGATGATGACATTCGATTTCACTCCCAATGCCTTAATTACAAGTCATAGGTGTTAGGTTATGTGTGGAATTCATATTAATTCGCATCTTATCCACAAGATGGCCGCTAGCGTTACCTGACGATCCGGAATGTTGATCGTCATGCTTATCACCAATATCATCATCATACTCATAGTCGAAGTCGTCGTCGGCGGCCGAAATTCTTTTAATTAAACACTCGTCGCATAACTCCGGCTCGTGCCATTCGTGCGGGGAGAAACGCGCGACGATCCAGATGGTTAGCGAGACGAGCAAATATGCGCCGACCATGTACAGCCATATTTCCACCGCCAGTGGATTCAGAAATGAGAATAACCGACTTGGAACTCTCCTCGGTTCCTAACCAAACATTAAATTAAAAAAAAAAAAAAAATTAAAAACACTCTGTATGCTTCACACGTATGTTATAATTGTAAATCTGTGCGGCACAAAGGAGATTTGCGCCTGTTTCATTTATTCGCCATGTTTAACACTCTTAAGCATGGCGGCAGAGACAATGGCGGAGGAGACGCGCTAATACCACGTGACGCGCGCGTGTTTCCAGCTTCCTGCTCGCTGGTTACGGTGTTCGCGTTCGGCGTAATGCGATTAAAAACTCATCCGAGCTTATTACCGATGTTAAATTGTTTACGCTTGACGTTCCGCGACGATTTACATGCGTAATCATTTTTTTCGAGCCTTTGTTTCATTGTACACGTGGAGCAAGAAACATTTTGAGTCAGATTCACTCATTTAACATGCACACACGTCAAAGATTACGGAATAATCTGCCGGAAACGGTAAAATGGGTAAACAAGTAGCAAGTAGCGACATCTGGCGGCAAAAAATCGTTTTTCTGTTGATGTAACAAAAAGCGACAAAAAAGCTTTTTTCCTGTTATTTAAGTTTCTACATGCGTAACAAGAAATATTTTAATTAAAAAAATTGTAAACATGTGTCAAGTAGCGACATCTAGCGGTGGAAAACAAAAAATGTTGTTTTTATGTTTTTTAAGCATTTTAGTGACAAAAAAATAAATAAAACATCGTTTGTCACATTTTTCTTACTTTTTACATGTGTTACATGAAATATTTTAATGAAAAATGTGTAAACAAATATCAAGTACTGCCATCTACCGGAAAAAAACTTGAAACAATGCACTGTTGCATGTTGGTGACGCATTTTTTGTACGACAGAAAAATAAATAAAAGAATGCTTTTAATTAAAACTTGCATCCAAGTTTTAAAGTGTTTCTGATGCGAGCGACGCGCTGCCGCCGCCGCTGCCGCCAACCACCGCCCCCCTGATGCTATTATCACGGCATAGGTGGTCCATTCTTTCTCACTTCGATTACGCGCTTGGTTTAATCCGTTTAATCCGATTTTTTTCTCTTTTTTATTTCTTTTCATGCACTTTCTGATCGATTTAATCACAATCTCAATCGTTGAACGATTTAATTCGCATTTTATTTTATTCTCTGTTTTATTTATCATTTGTCCGTTTTGTAATGCGATTTAATTATGTATTAAATGTTTGGGAAATTGTGACATTATCTAATGGGACGTAATGGCCGCCATGACAGTTTCGTAAATAAGTTAAATAAGTTTGTCTAGTTTTACGATGCTGTAGTCCTCTTGTGCAAGTAGTATTCAGGAGGTGGGGGTAAAAGCGGGTTACGAAATGGTCGAAATGCTCGAATGTAGATTACGGCCATCGGCTAAAGTCCGCTGATCCAGGCGATGACTTCGGACTCGTTGTTGTTCGGGTGGGGCTTAATTTATTTAGAGATTCGCCGCCGCCGCCGCCGCCGCCGCCGCCGCCGCTGGGCAACGAGGGGAGAATTACGACAAGCGAAATATTCATTTGTGCCACACCAAAACGTTGATGATTACGCACGCTCAAATCCTTTAAAAATACGGTAAATACTTATCTAGCGCCATCTAGCGGATTATTTTGTAACTAAAGTGATTCTAACCTATTTTAAAAACTATTTTACATAGTTTTTAAGTTAAGATGAATGTATAAACGTATAGTGCATGTTTGAGTGTAGATTACCCACAATGCATGCGATTCATTTATGAGCGACCCTTACAGAGAGGTCGAAATGTAATTATCCAGTGCAATCGCGATCAGCAAACCCCACTCGGGATACAGTCATTGGACTATCTCTGTGCATGTTGTGTGTGAATTTAGAATTTACGATTGCCGCACACAGGCATTGCGCTAATAAACTTTTAACTTGCTGTGTGATAGTAGCGCCCCCTACACGGCGCTTAAACGAATTATTTACGAGCTGTGAGGATGAAAATGAAAATTGAAATTGAACTAATAAATATGATTTTTTGCACATTTGGAACATGTACAAGTGGAAAAATAGTCACGAACGTTTTCATGTTATGTGTGTGTGTTTTGGGTTGCCTAAATCCGGCGTGAGCTACAACCCCTCATTTCTTTTCATTCGCACGCCGCACTTTTTCGCAGTATTAGCGTCGGCATTAGCTGTAATCCGCGCGAGCGATGGATGAACGCGTTCATCGTGTTATCAATGAGCATCAATAACGCGCACACTAACACTGGACAACATAACCTCAACAGCGGACATGAAAACCAGCTGAAAACAACGCACAACAACAAAAGACCAAATAACTGAAATAAATCATTTTAATCACAAAATGATTTTAGAGAAAAAAATTTTGTGATGACGTCAGCATTTGTGTTTATACGCCATGTTGGATTTTTAGAGGTTATGCGAACCTTTGGATTGAGACCGGAACCCTGCCGGAGGAAAGTGCCGGTGATGAACCAGAAGCTGTTGGATACAGAAAATTGATTCTCGACGATGTCGGACTCCTGGTGGCAGGGGTGGGGGTTGTTCCATTCGTAGGGCGAAAAGCGCGCCATTACGAACAAGGTGAATGAGACTAACATGTAGGCAGCTAGCACGTACAACCAGATCTCCACTGCTAAAGGATTCATGAAGCTGAAGAGCCTCGTTGGTTGACTTGTTGGTACCTAGTTTTATTATTTGACATATCCGCCATGTTTAACCTCAAAATTACAAAAAACCAAAAAAATTAAAATTTTTATTTTACCTTGAATAAGATACCAATTCCTAGATTCATGAAGGGTTTTGTGAAGTCTATGACACTTTCCCGTGCGTAGTTGATGGTCATCGATGCAACAGCCAAGTCAGCCCTCTGAAATTGAGGTTATGTGTTAGTAGGTTATGTTATGTTAGTGAGTCTAATGTAATTGAAATGTCGTGGATGAAATTAATAGAAGGTGATGGTGGGAGGAGAGGGAAAAGGGAGGAAAGTAATAAAGCAGATGATGATGGATGAATCGGCGTGTACTTTTTCCATTAGCTCGCGGACGATGCCGTTCCACTGTTTTGTTTCCGGATCGAAGACGCCGTACATGTGATCCGGCACCAGCCTGATTGAATATTGAAAGCCCACTTGGTTGGCGATCCATTTCAGCAGGTCGATGCAGAAGCCTTCATAGCGCGCGTTTCCGGTCAGGTTCTTTTCTTCTTTTACCATTACGTATGGACGTTCCTGGAATTATAACAAGTGAACATAATTTTTATTCACAGAAAATCATTGAGATATGATTTAATCAAAGAAAAAACAAATTTTAGAGAAAACACGTTTTTCGGTATTTCGGTATGCCGGTATTTTTTTTAAATGAAAATATCGGTTATACCGGTAGTTTTAAATTTAATTTTTGTTGTCTGAAAAAATACCGGTATTTGAAACAAAAAATACTTCCGGTATTAATACCGGTATTTTACTCCTGTAGGAAGAATTAAAAACGTGAATTCTGAGTTCAATACCGGTATTTCGGTATACCGGTATTTTTATAAAATCAAAATATTGGTAATACCGGTATTTTTAAATTTAATTTTTGTTGTATGAAAAAATACCGGTTTTTGAACGAAAAAATACCGGTATACCGGTATTAATACCGGTATTTTACACGGATAGGAAGAATTAAAGATTTTAATTTTGAGTTCAATACCGGTTTTTCGGTATACCGGTATTTTTTACCGGTAATACCGGTATTTATAGAATAATTGTTTATTTTATTGAAAAAAATAACAAAATTTAAGAGAAAATACCGGTATACCGATAATATTACCGATATTTCTCAACCCCACTAAAAACTTTTTTGTTTTTTTTATTTTTGCTTCGTCAAGTCACCCAAAAACTTAAAGATTTCCTTGCTTTTATCTCTGCCAAACAAAATAGAAACAAAAGCACTGTATGCGCACAAAATTAAATGAGAAAACTCTTCTGCTGCGTATTTTTAACTTTTATCCGACCTCATAAATAACTATCCACGACTCCAAAACATAAAACTTGACAAAAAACATAAATAACCTAAAAAACTGTCCATTAGTAAATTAATTTCTAATTATAAAACATTTTTAATTAAAATTTACATTTTAACGTGTTATAAACACTTTGTATAATCCAATTTGTATTTGTATATTCAACTGTTAAGATTTTTCCGCACTCGAAAACTTCCCATTCAACATGGCCGCCCGGTCTGGTTCGGTTAAAGTTGCGATGATAAATCATCGGAGTGGACAGCGCATCCCTTGCAATGTAATGTTTTAGGGTCGTAGATGTAGTTAGCGAAGCTTTTCATAAAATAATCTACAATTTTAGTATTGTGTCAACTACACCACCCGGCATAAAATTAAAACCTCCGCATCTGGGTCAAACAACCCCGACGAAACTTGAAGTTGTTATTTTAAATTAAAAATTTATTGAGAAAAATGTGACATAAATCATTCGAATTTCCTTCCGCGGCGGCTTCCTTCGCTTCGAAAGCGACTATTTTTCATTAATGCATTCATTGCGTTAAGGGATGAACGGGGTGACAAATCGCCGCTTGCAATATGAAAGCTGTCGCTTTGTCAGCCGCCCCCAAGGTCTATTTTCGGCGCAAATTATCTCTGCCCGTGCGAATTAACTAATAAATCTTATTAACAATACGCGTCAAATTTTCTTTTTATTTTCTTAGAGGGGATTTTAAGATTTTTTCGCGAAAAAAGAATCATTATGAGATTATTCTTTCTTTACCTACAAAAATAACTGAAACGTGCGTTTTTTTGCTGCTTTCAGATTTAAAAATACCGGTATTGGACAAAAAATACCGGTTTTGGACAAAAAAATGCCGGTATTGGACGAAAAATACCGGTATACCGATATTTATACCTGTATTTATAATTCAAAGTCAATTTTAATTTCCAAAATACCGGTATACCGGTATTTTGATTAAAAATTACCAAATATACCGGTATACCGAAATACAGTTATTTTGTCATTTGTTAAAATATTTTAATTTTATCTTAATTTTCCACCAAACATTAAAATTGACCAAAATTTCCTTTAAAAACAAATTTTCATTAAAAATTTTTTTTCAAATTTTCTATAATTGAAAACCCATTAATACTGTTTATTCAATACTTGTTTGCAGTTTTATGCAATATTTATCACCCGTAAGCATGATAAACGATGCAACTTCCAACAGGTTAATACCCATTACACATTTATTGTATGCAACCAAATTTGCATGCAAGATGCAACCTAACCACACTCACACTCACACACACTCACACTCCACACTCCGCACAGAACGTCGAATATTCGATAATGTCGTTGAATAAATTTCACGCACGAAATGCACAACGAAACAATTTCCGCTTCCGAGTCTAATAGGCACCGAGAAGATTATAACATTGTGTGTGTACGTTCGAGAATGCATAAATAACACGCGAAATTATTCCATTTGTCAGCTGGCGCGAGCGCAAAAATGAATTAATAGCACCGGGCGCGCCATTTTTTTCTTCTTCTTCTGTTTGATTTTCATCGCTGCGAGCACTTCCGCCTCCACTCCATAGGTATCATTATTCAAATCTTGAAACAGCATAAAATTGCACGTTTCGGTTATTTTTAGGTAAAGAAAGAATAATCTCATAATAGAAGTGTGAAATACCGGTATTTTTTCTTTACAAAACGATAAAAATTAATACCGGTATTAGGAGTCTTCCGGTAATACCGGTATTTATCACATGTGGTTTTAATTAGAAAAATCACAAATTTTGGTATGCGGTATTTCGGTATACCGGTTATTTGTGTATTTTTTTATACAAAATACCGGTATACCGGTAATACCGGTATTTACAAAAATGTGTTTTTAATAACAAAAATTAAAAAAATAAGAAAAACTTTGACTAAAAATGAATTTTTAAAAACAATTTTAACCAATTTTCATATTTTTGAGCAAAAAATAATTTTTCTTGTTTCTCTTCAATTTTTGACATTTTAACACCCTGTAGATATTTTTTCTTGACTGATAATTATCAGTTATCTTGTCGAAAAGTGCTCCGCCCTGCGTCGTGGGCGTCTAATCGGATTTACTGATTGATTTATTATTTTATTCGTTTAACTAATTTTTTCGCTCCCCTCGCAAGAAAAAGAAGCCTGCGCTGGAAAAATCGTCCGAAATAATTCAGTCGACAGCCCGCGTGCCTGAAATACACACCAGGAACGCGAAGGGCGCATGAACGATGGGCCAAATTACTTCTTTGTTAAGTTAACAATTTTTTCCCGTGCTCGTCGCTTCCTTTGCACATCATTTTCTCCACCCTCACACCAGGCGCTCATCGCTTCAATATCGACCTTACTATAGCCGACTATACTTTATATTAGGAGTAACTTAGACTTAGACATGGACTTGGAAGGGTGATGTGCAATTGGCTACGGTCAACTCTTTCTCGAGTGTGTTTTTTTCCTAGTTTTTGTTCTTGTTTTTTCGCTCAAGCTCGGGTTTCTTTCCGTAACCCCGGACAATCGCTCAATTTGCGCCCCGTGGCTGACGTTTTGATTTATCGTTCGCCATGTTTTCAGGCTGTGGACCTAAGCCGAACAGACGTAATGTTTACACTAGGGGTGTGGGATATCAGTTGGAAAATACCGGTATACCGGTATTAAAATAATTTTACCTTAAAATTGGTTTAAATGAAATAAAAAAATTTTTGACTTTTTTCATTTTTTTAAATTTTAAAAACCGGTATACCGGTATTTTTACGTCCTAATACCGGTATACCGGTTTTAAAACAATTTTACATTAAAATTGGTTTAAATTAACAAAAAACTGAAATATTATGTGTTTTTCATCAATTTTTTAAAATTTTAAATACCGGTATACCGGTATTTTTACTTCCTAATACCGGTATTAAAACCGGTATACCGGTATTTTTTCATACATATTCTAATATTTTGCCATAATCAATATTTTTAATTAATTAATAGAATTATTTTATAAAAAACCGGTATTACCGGTATTTTGACTCAAAAAATACCGAAATATCGGTTTTTACACAAAATTTAACAGAAAGAATATAATTTTTAAATTCTTACCTCACGTGTCATTACAACCAGTGTAATATTCGGCGCGTTTGACTCGTAGAATGCATTGGGATCAGTGATATTGATCCCACCGGAAGGCGTCCATTGTCCCACTTTGCGCACCTCCTCCTTCTTCAGCTTAAGCAGGTCCAGCTTGAAATTGGAGCGCTTGCCTTCGTTGAACTCCAGGTTTCCGGTGAGGCCGTGCAGGCCCGTCTGGAATAGATAAACAAACACCTCCGTGATTAGATTTGCAGTAATGGCGGACGGGCGACATCTGTAATCAACGCAGGAAACGCGCAAGAAGTGCAAGAGTGCACGCGGCGCGTGTTTTTTGGTCTTTAGATCTTGAGAGGATTTTTGGGAATAAGTAAATACTAGTGGATAAAGGGATGAAGGGACGAAGCGCAAGGATAAAGGACTAGGGAGTAAATTAAGCAAACACTTTTTTGGATGGGAAAATCGGACATGGAAGATGGGGGAAAACTCAATCAACCAATGAAAATTTGTCTTTTGATATAAAAAGACTGGAAAATATTTTTAAGGAGAAATTTATCAAATCATAAATTATCCCTACTAATATTATAAATGCGAAAGTCCTGATGTTTGTTACACTTGCACGCAAAAACTACTTAACCGATCATCATGAAAATTTGTACACATATTCTTAGTGGTCCCCGACTGGTTATTGGCTACTTTTTATTTAATAAAAAAATTATTTTTGAAATAAAATAAAGAAATTGTTTAGCCAATAATACCTCTGCATCTGGCTATTTGACTACTTTAACGCCATCTAGCATTCCAGCAATGAAGCTCAAACCTAAATACTATAGTACCATCACACTGTATTATCACACTGTATTACCGACAGCTACGTCAACATCAAATCCAATTGACTACATTATGGAGACTGTACACTATACTTCCATAGACTATACTTTCAGCCATTTAAAACTTCCCGCCATTCTACTTCATTGTTACTTCTTCTGTGACTACAGACGCGTACGGAAGCAACTTCATTATTTTAGATATGCGCGAGCGAAGCCGCGGGGTAAAGCTAGTCATCAATAAATATTGACTTAAAAATTAATTTTTAATTGAAACATTTCAAAAAATATTATTTAGTAATACCATAATTTTATTTTTAGTGTTTATCTTAAAATTTGATAAGATTTCTTAAAATTTTATGACTTATTCTTTAATTCAGGACGAAAACAAACCCAAAAATTCAAAAATCAAAAAAATCGGCCGTTTGGTTCATGAGTTATACCGAGTGTAACATACCTTTTTTTAATTTTTTTTTTAAAACCTCATAATTTACTCTTGTTTTCTCCTCGCAACCAAACTTACACATACAACACAAACCTCTAAACCTAAAAAAATTAAATTTCACAAAACTTTGCAATCCCATATTATGTTGGAATAATATTTTCCTAATTTAACATTGTACCTGTCGTCCTAGTGTACTTTACGAACAAACTCCTCGCATCACATTAAACTTTCCCGTCATGAGCCACGAGTCGCGCGCTGACTTTGAATTGATTTATATCAACGCACAGCACGCCTCTATCGCCGATACTCTCTATCGTTGACTTAAATTAATTTAATTAATTTCCAATTACGGCGAGCACGGCGGTAATGCACACGCACGACTAATTAATTGCGTGGTAGCTCGCATTACGAATTTATTCAGAATATATCACTATTAGGCCAACATAGTTCAATGGTAATTAATTATAATTATAATTTACTTCCATAGCAATCACCACAAACCAAAAATTTAATAAAAACACTAAAAGTTTTGAGGTTAAAAACACGTCTGACAAGTTAAAACGTTAAAATAACTTAAAACGGAAAACATTTAAAGATTTTTCCTATTTTCTTCTCTTTGTGCAAAGTTTCCATGGTAGAATAACTTTGATTCACTCCCGCGGCCATAGTTTTAGTTGATTGATAAGAAAACGGAACCGAATGTGGGCGCTCTTGTTCATCCAAGTTTTTAGTTGAATAAAAAGGTGTCTAGACGCTGCGCCACCCACGGAAAACTTTAAAGTTTCAACTTTGAGATAAGGTAGACAACACACAATACACGTACGAGTGACATACACATGTATGTAATGTTGGTTGCCTAAGTGCTACCTTTACCTAAACCGGATGTACGGATAATGTAAAATTACCGCGAAAAGTTTTCCATCTACTCATGTACTCACCACAGCGTCAAGATAATTATACAGTGAGAGGCCGTCATCCCACGGTCGTTCAAGGTCACACGATAAATTGACAGGTTTGATTGAATGCCCGGATTCCATCGCCGAGAGGCCTTTGGCGAAGACATAAACCGAGTCGAACATCAATGCTGGTTCCGCCTGTTTGTATAAATATTAATTATTATCATTAATGTTGAAATTAGTGTTGATAAGTTGTTTTGTAATTATATACCTGAATGATGCCGCTGCGATTGAGTATCTGATGGCCGATCGGCTGGAACTTCTCCATGACGTCCAGAGCGTCTTTGACTTTGGGGCTTTCGACGTCGACGATGCGAAAGGCGGTGATGTTGACCGAGTTGTATTTGAAGTCTTCGAGATCAAACGTCTCGAGATCCTTGTGACATAAATAAAATATCAAAGTGGATTTTTGCAATTTCAGAGAATATTTTACGCAATGTGAAGAAAAAAATTACTAATTCTTTTTTATTGTCTACTTACGAATGTTGTGAACATGTAGTGATAACGATAATCGTTCATTTGAAGTTGTAGAATCTGAAATATAAAATTTTTGTTATATTGGTTGCCTATGTTGAGGTGGTAATGTTATTTGTATAAGTGTATCGTATCGTATTAATTGCAATTTGTTGTGTTTATTACGCAGTGACTATAATTAGTAGACTTGATTTGATTACATTTGCTAATTTTATTCGGCCATCAGTTGTTCATTTGTTTGTTAATAATTATTGGTAATTGTTGATTTAATCATGATGACAACGTCTGTTTTAAATGGGAACTAATTTAAACACTAACCTTTTACATTACGTGTATTATGTGTATTAGGTTGCCTATGTTGTAATATTTTTACTTTTTTTTTTATTTTTGTTTATATCTTTGTTGTTTATTGCTCGATTTTAAAAATTTAAAATTCACATGAAAGATAATTAAATTATCTAAATGACGGTTTTTAATTTGTTTTAATATGTTTATTAGTTTATGAGATATTTTGATATTTTGAAAATTTTTAGTTTTAATACTTACAGCACGAAAGAATTGATTAATATTCTTGGGATTTGTGTCGACGATGAGTTTATAAATCTCTTTCTGGCGCACCTCGCGCAACACCTGTCGATACGTGCTGGGGCTGGCTTGACGTATGTACATCTCCGTCCGGGCGGCGGCAGGCGCCTTCACCAATTCTTGCAATTTGAATAAACCTAATTTTTTCCAATAAAAAAACAACATTAAATTAATATCATAAAAATTACAATATTATTACCAAAACATTGAGATTAAATCATGCGCATTCACCAAACATGCTATATATTTCATAATAAAACGTAAAACATGCAGAAATTTTGCAATATTTCAATATTTGCTTTCTTTTTGTTGCATGCAGAACATGCGCAACATATTAATATTAATATTGATGCAATAGTTTGCGATTTAAGTTTGTCTCTTCCTATGGAAAATATGCGACCGTAGGAATGTGCATATTTGTACTAAAATGTAATAAAATGCTAAAATCTTAACGCACGAGCTTTGAAAGCTTCCAAGTTAAGTTAAACTGTGACTTTGGATAAAATTCAAATTTCAATAAAAATGATAATGTCACAAATAATTTAAGACGGAATTAATAACGAACGGTTGTATTATATTTATGCAAATATTTGTAATTTGAATATTGGGTTGCCTAAGAAGAAAAATGGAATTAAGTGGATATTGAAACATGGTTTGCCTATCCCATATCATATATTACATCATAAATAAGGATGTGAATTTTGTGTTTAATACCGGTATTTTTTAAATAAAAATATTGGTATTGGAAAAATAAAACCGGTATACCGGTATTTTACACTACTAACAATATATCGGTATATTTTGAAAAATTAAAAAATTTTAATACATAAAATAAAAATACCGGTATATCGGTATTAATACCGGTATTTCACACTCCGAATACCGGTATACCGGTATATAACGCAAGTGATATTATATTTAAAAAAATAAAAATAAAAACAAAATACCAATATACCGGTATTAATACCGGTATTTCACACGCCTAATACCGGTATACCGGTATATATCGCAAATAATATTCTATTTAAAAAATTATATTAAAATAAAAACAAAATACCGATATACCGGTATCAATACCGGTATTTTCCACTTTTAATACATAATGAAATATTGGTTTCCTATAATAAAACATAACCTAACCAAACTAAAATTTAATAAACATTATATTTGTTTATATTTTTATTTTCCTATATTTTATTTCGCCACTTATGAATTATGACGCATCAAAAAATATACACCTCAATAAAACCTAATACCTACAGTCCTGATATCCTGATGTACACAGTATCAATTTGTTGGGATGACGCATAAAACTTGTTTGCAGAAATTCCGAGCGCCAGACGTGTTCAACCGTGCGGCTCGTATAACATAATATGATTTTATAGAAAACGATCCATTAAATTATAGACACATGTCCATACAGTGTGTTCACAACCCAAAAAATTACACAACCAACTTTAATACTAATATTAAAACATAAAACATAAAAAAATATTTTATGAATACATTATGAAAACATTTTATACTCTTTTAAACTGGGAGCCATTTTAATAATCACAAAATTAAAGCGTAATATTGTACATTTTATATTTTATTTGATATTATGTTTTATATTATGTTGTATATTGCATTTTCACTTTTGGTTGTTAGTACACTGTTTACCGGATACGTGTTGTGCTAGTTATTGCCCGTTTGCGCAGCTAGAAACTGTCATGGATGTTTATTACCGCAATAAAACACAAAACGACGCAAAACAATACGTAACTGATATCTTTTTATGTCAACAGCGCGTATGTAAATATCAAATAACATCATTGAATTGTCATGTTCATATTTTTCATTAAAAATTGTTTTTCATGAATTTTTCATACATCTCAAAAGCAAAAATTTATGGCCAAATATATAAAAGATTCAACAATAATCCCTACTATTATAAATGCGAAAGTCCTGATGTTTGTTAAGACCACGCAAAACTACTTTAACCGGATCATCATGAAAATTTGTACAATATATTCTTAGTGGTCCCTGAATGGTTATAGGCTACTTTTATTTAATAAAAATTATTTTTAAATAAAATAAAAGAAATTGTTTAGCCAATATACCCTCTCTTGCATCTACATATTTGACTACTTTAACGCCATCTAGCATTCCAGCAATGAAGCTCAAACCTAAGTACTATAGTACCATCATACTGTATTATCACACTGTATTACCACAGCCACGTCAACATCAAATCCAATTGACTACATCTATGGAGACTGTACACTATACTCCATAGACTATACTTTCAGCCATTTTAAACTTCCCGCCATTCTACTTCATTGTTACTCTGTGACTACAGACGCGTACGAAGCAACTTCATTATTTTAGATATTCGCGAGCGAAGCTGCGGGTTAAAGTTAGTTACAAATATTTCACGATTTGTAATACTAAACTAGATCAAGTTACAACACAGCATAAATAATGTCTATGTGTGTGTGGAACGTGTTACACGTTAACGTACAATATTAATGTGTGTGTAACCGTGTGTGTTGTGCTGTGTAGTGTGTTGAAAACATTAACGCCGCTGCGGGCAGACACAGAGCTATCCCGTTTAAATTGGTTATCAATTGTTGCAACGTTCGTTAATTTAAAGCGCTAATTGGCAAACGTGCTGAGGGAGCCGGTAACAACACCAAACACATACACCAACACACATTGAATAACAATACGGCACATGTTGAGCGATAAAGTTAAACACTACACCGGTGTGCAGCGTCAAACAGTAAACAGTGGACAGGTAAATAATTCCACACGAATATAACTTTCAAGTTAATTAAATTACCTACTTTTCAATTAGCAGAATAAATAATGTTTTCTTTTGTTTTTGGGGGGGGGATACTTTGATATAGGCAACCAAATATACAATATTGAATATTTATGCATGCAAATTGAAATATTTTAGGTTATATTTTATTTAAAAAATGTTTTTTTTAATTAAACACTCTGTATAATAACAATCTATTAAGTTTTATAACTTAATTTTTTTAATATAGGCAACCAAATATACACAAAATTATATTTATGCATGAAAAAGTAAATTTTTTAGGTTAAAATTCACAAAAATATGTTTCTAAATTAAACACCCTGTATAATTAAATTTTTAATTCCATTCTTTAATACAGGCAACCAAATATACAAATATTTAATAGTTTTGCATGCAAATGTAATTTTTTGAGGTTAATTTTTATACAAAGTGTTTTTTTTTGTATGAAAATCAAACACCCTGTATAATAACAACCCATTAAAACTTTTAACTACACGTGTTCTAAACATCGGTAACAGTAGAACATTGTGACGGTGTTAAAACTGTGTTGTTGAAGATGTAAAAAGTTGAAAAAGTCAGAACACAAGCAAAGGAGAACAGCGCAGAAGAGCGAAGAGTTTTTTTTTCTGCTAGTATTATTTCTTTTAAAGTGTGTTTGAAGAGTTTTAGAACACAAAAGAGAAGAGAAAAGAGCGTGTGCTGTAAAGAGTGTATTTGTAAAACGAATATTAAATACGCAAACTCGTCCGGTTGCTAACCTTTTCCCCCTACGAGCGGAACTAAACGAAAAGATGGCGGCGTCATTATTTCACTTGGCTCAAGTCTCCACACTCAGACACATTGGACACACGTTCAAGTCAACAATCACAAAACAATCAAACCACACCCCATTTAATCATTCATCATTCACATTTATGGGTTTTTTTGTGTTTTAGAAATGCTTACCGTAGTCTTCTTCGTAGATAATGGCGACTTTGGTCCAGTTGAGGAATGTCATGAGGTCTTTGAAGGCGCGATTCATGTGCTCCTGACTCGGGTGCAGATTGATTGAGAGTTCTTTACTCACAGGTTCGAAATCTATGCGGGCTTCGAGGTGTGGAACGTCCAGAGCTTCGCATATACTCTGTATATGTGCACCGAGGACAGGATCTGATGGACCGAAGATGCCTTGGACGCCGAACTCCATCTGACGGCATGCTGAAACAATAGGTTTTTATATGCAACTTGAATATAGAGGTTTTAATGTGTGTTTTGGGTTGCCTATAGTAAATCATATGTTTTATGAGTATTGCAGTGTGTGACGCAGTGTGACGCGTGTTGAAAGAACAGTTTAACGTATGCAACCTGTTATACAGGTAAAAATAAGATGTTTTGATGTATGTTTAAGGTTGCCTATAGTAAATCATGTATGCGTTGAGTATTGGAGTATGCAAACTTAATAGTTAATAATTCGCGTACAAAATCGATTTCTGCATGCAAACTTGCGCGCCTGAATACAAACAGGATTTGCAGGACAATATTAAACACTCGAATGCACTCGAAATTGTTAATTATGTTCTCCTGAGTATAAATTATTCAACATAGGCAACACAAACATCATCTAAACATATACAACCCATAATAAAATTTAATCTTTTTGTTATTTCACATTGTGATGTATTGTGAATATAAATTAGATAAATTTTCATTAGTGAAAACACGTGCCGCACGCTTTGTATATTTATTGATTAGCATCATTGTGATTGTGCGTAACGCGTTAACCCATATTCCCATTATGATCTTTCGGGGAACGTCCCCGCTTAACCACATGCGATTTATTGTCTTTTGTTTAATTATTTGGCTTTCCATGTTAATATCTTTGCGTATTTTGGTCACCCAATACTAATTGAGATGAGGGTTATATGAAAATTTATACGCAACAAAAATTAATATGTATATTGGGTTGCATATATTTTTCAGTTATATTTGCAGTGTGGAGACCTCAGGTGCTTTCCTGGACGCCGTTTTCGCTCGTTATCCCCGAATAGAGATTCATACTCCTCGTCGGCGCATGCAAATCGGATGTGGTAGGTGGAGTAGGCAACCAAAGAAGCACGCAGCGTACGCCTATGTAAGATGCCCGACGCAGATGGTCGTTTGCTTCATTTTGAAGCCTGCTGTGCATAATGCGAGTACGTACACGAATATTGTTCCGCTGGTGGTTCATTGTGCGTTTTTCGAGGCGAGCACGTGTTTTCATGAATTGAAAAGGCTCCGCGGATGCGGGTAATGTGAAGATGCTGTATGCGCTTATCTTATTCCTCCCGGTTCGTCGAGAGCAGAGGGTCTCGTTATCCCGTTATCCGATAAGAACGGACGGCGCGGATGAAATTTTCAATTTGAATTTTAATCGAATAAATTCCGACAACTTTGCAAAATTTAAATTAACCTATGCAACCAACTTTACACTAAGACTTTATATATATTGGGTGTGTAACAGGCTTTATAATCACAGATTGACATATTTCGCATTTTGTGTCGTGACGGTTACTTAAGGTGCGGTTTAAATTAACCTATGCAACCAACTTTACACGTAGACTTTATACTCGTTGGTGTGTAACAGGCTTTATAATCACAGATTGACATAATTCGCATTGTGTGTCGTGAGGGTTAGTTACCTTAGCGTGAGGTTTACCTTTAACCACACGCGGCGGAATTGGAAAAGAAGGTCGAAAAGTTAATTCGGTAATACGTTTGCGGTTGAGCCAAAGGTCCGAACGGCGAATCCACTCGAAGGGCACTAAAAACGAACGGTAAGTTACGTGTATGTGTATTGTGTGTGTGTGAGGGTTTTTCGTCGACCGCAATTCCGCAATTTGCAGTCCGACCCTATAAAGTTTAGATTTTTACGAGCCGTGGAACAATGAGCGTCAAACGCCGGCGGCGTGTGGAGCTCCCGCAGGAAGAGGTATATTTACCGGTGGGAGAACGTTTAATAGAAACATCGAGAAAGTTACTCAACTTAAGTGTATACCAAGTGTTCGCATATATTCGTAAAATAGGCGGAAAATCGGTCGGTTGGGTAATGGCGCTGACAGTTATCGACGTTTTTATTCAATTATTATGATTATGACGTTTTAGTCAACTGCATTGAGTGCACTTTTTCGAATGGTCATTGAAGCGGTGTCAGCAAAAGTTTCATGCGCAGACGATTTATTTTATGCAACTTATTACACTCATATTTTAAATGTAGGCCACCAACATTACAATTTTCATTCGGTAAATGTAAGTTTTAGAAAGGTTATTAGCTAGGGATTTGAATCTTGAATAAAATACCGGTATTTTGAAACTGATATCGGTATACCGGTAATACCGGTATTTAATAAGTTCGTTATTTTTCGAAATAAACCGATATTGATACCGTATTGAAAAATACCGGTGTTTAAAACCAAAAATACCGGTATACCTGTATTTTTTACCCCTATTTTTATTATTTATTCAAAATTTTTCTTTTTTTGTATTACAAATGTATTTTTTTGGATCAAGTGTGAATTATACTTTAATTTCAAGACGTTTGCGGGTTTCAGAGGGTTGGTTCGCGCATTAGTTTCCGGATTCGGGTTGGTTTGGGTCTGCGCGTCCGCAGACTGGCCGCAAACAGCCGCCATAAACCATAAGGCGCTACCTCTGCCTCTTCCCAAGAGTTGGAAAGACGTACGAGGGTTGCCCATCACTCGCCAACCCTCCAAACAAAATTACACTTGACTTTAATTATTACTATGCCATACAAAATCGTATAAATCTTATTTTTAACGGAAAAATATCAAAAAATACTTTAACTGAAGAATTACGTGAAATATACCGGTATACCGGTATTAGGGGTGTAAAATACCGGTATTAATACCGGTATACCGGTATTTTTCCAATCAAAAAACCAATATTTTTCGATATTCTATTTTATTTTTTATATTTTAATGAATTAATTTAAATATTTAAAAAATACCGGTATAACCGGTATTTTTTTTTCATTTAAAATACCGGTTAACCGAAATACCGTTTTTTTTTTCTGACAAAAAATGGAAAAATATGAAATGATTTCAATAAAATCCTAATAGAAACTCATAAAACTAAGCAATACATCATAAAATACAAGAAAAACTTAAAACCCCAACCAAAGTTTGAGTACGCGATCGTTAAAAATTAATTTAATTTAAATTCATGAGCAGTTGGCAATGCCGAAATTGGCGCGTTAAACTTTTACACTCGTTTCCCACGAGAACGTTTCATTAGTCTCGCAATTCTCTTCGCGCGCTTACACCCACAACTACAACTATATACTCTTCTACTCTTTACGAGTACGTTACTTACACATCTTAAATTTCTATTTCTTGCGTAGTAACTGCGAGTAGCACAAGTTGCACATCGGTTTTTTCTTTGTGCATGCAGTTTATCACGATCACGTTAATTCCTCGTGTTTCGCTTGCAAAGTGCGTTGCGTTCGTGTGTCCGAAACTTGGAGCGTGCGAAACGCGAAAATCCCGGTTTAGCGGAAACTCCGGCTGCAAGTGATGCCGGTAAATTGAAACCTGGATCGGAGAGCTGGCGGTGAATGCCTAAACGCTCTTCCAAACTCGCGGATTTAACGCTTGCGCGTGAACTTTTTCCACTAATTGGACGCATTCGCTCGTTTTGGTCAAGCCCGCGCTGGGAATGTTCAAACAATTCGTCGCTCACTCGAATTATCCGCGCTGGTAATCTTTAATTCACAATAGAAGGTTAGTTTTGGGTTTAACATAGGCAACTAACATTACAAAACAGCGGAATATAGGTTATTTAAGCATAAAAGTACGTAAAATCAAAGATTTTGTGTTTTTTACATTAAAGGTTATGTTTTAAGGTTATATATGTTTTAGTATAGGCAACCAACATTACACAAACAAATTGTACCAAAATAAAATATAAAACAATGAATTTTTCATATAATTTATGGTTTGTGTGTATTTGGTTGTATAAAATCATTGGTGGACAATGTTGGAGTTTACGTACATGTATCGAACATAAGGAAATGCTTATATAATTTTTTTTTCATTATTTCAGGCATGGATGGAAGCTGAACCCACTGCCAATCTTCAAATTAAATTTTAAGGTTAGTAATCATTTTAATATAGGCAACCAACATTACAAACACATAAAAAATAGGTTATTAAATCAAAAATGCACAAAAAATTACATATTTTGTAATTTTCCACATTAGTAGTTGTATTTTAAGGTTATGTATGGTTTTAACATAGGCAACCAACATTACAGAAACAGATTACACTAAACCACCACTTATTATAACACGAGTGTTTGCAAAACGATTAATTTTCGACATAATTCATGTCCTGCGGTGTATTGGATTGCATAAAATTATAGATTTAGTTCCGTCGTGTATAGTGGGTTGTCGCCACAGCGCGTACATCCAATAAACACGCAGCACGCGGCGTTTATAGTCGAAATAATCATAAAGCCGGCCATTATTCCGCATTTAAAGCTATAGCGCATAGGCGTTGGCGGCGGCGCGCAAAACTTCTCCAGTTACACACTTTCTCTAGCGACGGCGGCGGTGGCGGCGGCTGGGGCTGTGGCACAAGCCGCGCAGCAAAAGTTATTCAATTTGTAATGACTTGACGTGTATATATATATATTCCCTCTTGTGAAACACGAGACCAATTATAATCAAAGTTAAATGCACGTCCATGAAGGATTCAATTTTAGCCGGCGCGTCACGACGAGAAATTAATTTATCTTATTTTTTCTTTTGGGAGAAATAAGAAATTTTGCTTTAAATTAATATTATTTCCATTAACATTAACATTAACATTGGTGGATTTAGAAAAGAATTATTATTTTTCTTTGTGTAATGGCGGTATTGTTGTGAGCGAAATGTATGTTTACAAGGGCTGAAAGGTGTGTTTACCTTTTTTCGACGTCCGGAAGCTGTCGTCGCGCGGCACGTATTGTATATCGTAGACGAGCGTCGTGTTTGGCAGAAGGTCCTTGTCCTTGTTGATCCTGTACACGGCGTACTTGAATGCCAGCTCCACGCTGCTGTCTTTTTGATCTTCGGTGAATATCGCACCTGGAAGCAATACAAATCAATTAGAAACATGTAGGCAACCAAAAATACAGTAAAATTTTAGGTTATATTGGTAGGGAGGTGAAAAACCGGTATTAATACCGGTATTTTTTAAATAAAGCGATATTTTTCTGTAGAATAAAAATTAATTTTAAAAATACCGGTATTACCGGTAAAAAAAAATACCGGTATACCGAAATACCGGTATTGAATTAAAAGTTAATATTTTTATTTTTCAGTTGAGTGATGAAAAATTGGTTTTAATACCGGAAATACCGGTATTTTTTTAGAAATACCGGTGTTAATACCGGTATACCGGTATTTTTTTTGTGAAAAACCGGTATTTTTTATATTTAACTAAATTTTCAATATTTATAATTAATTTATTTAATTATTTAATAAATACCGGTATACCGGTATTTTCATAACAAAAAATACCGATATTTTCAAAAAACCTTCGCATTAAAATTAATTACCCAATAATTCAATGCTTATTTCACGATTAACTCGAAGCGATAGTTTAACCTAAACAAATGAGCGTTGTTTAACGCTCCAGCTTCGTTTGTTTGCCGAGCGCAGCGTTGTTATATTTCATTCGGCAATGGTGTGCAGTTAAAGACGCCACGCGGCGCGAAAGACAAAGACTGCAAAAAGCGCTTCATTCATTATATAGCGCGCGAAAGTTGTGCTGCTGCAACATGGCCGGCATTTGCAATTTACGTCCGCGCTGGGCTTGCGAATGCGCACACGGAATTTATCTCTGTGTTGATGCGCATTGCATTACATTGCATCTACAGATGATCGTAATAATAATAATAAACTTGAGCAGAATACACAAACTTTACGATTACAAGGAATAACATAACCTTTAATAACAAAACTTTATATACAATGTGTCTTTAGTGCTACTCAAAATATTTTTATACTTAAATTCGTAATATTTTAGTTTAAAAATAGTAAAAAATGATTTTTATTGTCTTTGGACATATTGTATGCAATTAACTGACGCCATGCTTAATTAAGGTTTGTGCTTTGTGTTTTGAATAAACTTGGACAAGAAACAGGAAGTCATACAAACATTTCAGCGTTAAAACTTTGCGAAAACTAAACTAATAAGTTTTAAGACGTGTAAGATTGTTTTAGTTAAGTGTTGGCAACCAACATGTCATAAGTATACGGTGTATATGTATGTGGGTTGCATATATTTATTTTTAAAATTTTTTTCTGCGTGGAATTGACTTAAATCATTGCAAATTTTAATAAATTTGTTGAAATGAACACTTTGGATTGTGTAATGTGTGCGGACATTTGCATAATACGTGGCTGTTGGGTTGCCTGACCTAATAAATAGCCCTCGGGCGAAATTAACACGAGTTTCGTCCTTATCTTATCTGCCGGACACGGCGGAGCATTAGCGGAGTCCTGCAGTCCTGCACCGACCCTAATAACCTCTATGTCGGCATTATACAGGGTGATACAGAATTTAAAAAAAATAAAAAAGAAAAAATTATAAAATTGAATTGAATTAAATTAAATTCTTATCAGTAAAAAATTTAAAAAATATTTTTTTGATTTTTTAACATTATTTTTAGAAAAAAGAAAAAAAATTAGGAAAAATTTTTTTGGGGGTGAAAATAATGCATGCGCTCTGCACCCTTACTCCAGGGGGTAGTTTATGCTTCATTTCCGTAGATGTGTGGTGTGTTACATACGCGATGTTATCATTTATATGTTTTTCGTATTTTTTTTGCTTGAATTCTACTCGTTTTTCGTATTTTTCTTTTTCGTAACTTTCCGGGTCTCTGTGCAAATACGAAGCCAAAACGTAAAATAGTTTTAATTATTTTAATTAGAACGAAATCACATTGCTACATCGCTAATTGTTTCCGCGTTTGTGATTTGCGAACGACTGCAACCGGACGCGCGCAAGCCCACTGCGAGCGGAAATAAATTAGTTGAATAGTTTTTAATTACCGTCTGGAGCTGACGCCGGCAACCGGAAACTCAAACTCGACCACTGCTCACGCGTACAATCATTCTGCAAGTCTTGCGACTTACGTTTTGGACTCTTTTGCGAACATTTCTATTTAATTTCGATTGAAATTTGAGTTGCATACATTAAACATCAGATGTCAGCCATATAGGCAACCAAATTTACAATTTTTTTTTTGAATTTAATTTTTTATTATTTTAGTCACGTTTTTCTTAAAATTTGATTGAAAATTGAGTTGCATACATCAAAAACTAAATTTGTGTAATATAGGCAACCAAATTTACAATTATTTTATTTTCTTCAATTTTTTTTATTGTTTTACTCATGATTATCATAAATTTTGATTGAAATTTGAGTTGCATACATTAAACTGTCAGATGTCATCTATATAGGCAACCAAATTTACAATAAATTTTTATACTTTCATTTTTTATTACTTTATTCTCATTTTTTCTTAAATTTTGATTGAAAATTGAGTTGCATACATTAAACTGTCAGATTGTGATAATATAGGCAACCAAATTTACAATTATGTCATGGTGTATTTGTGCAACTAATTTATTTGCATTAATTTTATTAGATTTAATGTCTTTGGGGCTTTTGTCCTTGGTCTTTTGTTTAATCGTTGTTTTTTTCGTCGTCGGAGGCGGCAATCGTTGTCATCAAGTTGTGTGCTTGTGAGCTTTCGAGATTATGATTAATCGCCTGCGCTAACTCTCGACTTTTCGGATTGATTAAAAACCCCGAGTGCCGGCCGGGTTTACTTTACGCGGCGCGGATATTCATCCTCGTCGGTCGGGTTCAAGTTTCCTCGGCTAACTTCATTTAAATTCTTGGTTAACAAACAGGCTTCATAAAAAATGAAGCGCCTCATTAGTTATGCGCTTAAACGAGGCTATTTTCCCTGATCAAAAGCACACAAATTGTTTTTTTTTGCAAGTTTTATAAGATATTTTAGGTTTAGATTTAAATTTCAATAGTGTGTGACAAGTTGCATATGGCAAATTTTGATTTTACTGATTTTTTGATAGTTTTTGTTTGTTTTTTGGTAAAATTTTGAAGAAAAATGGTAAATTTTTGATAGGATATTATTGAAATTAAATTATTATAAGTTTTACTATCAGTATTCATTAAAATTATATAAAAATAACAAGATTTGTGAAAGTTACAACAATTTTTTTTGACGAAAAACTCAAATTTCGGTATTTTTACGATGTTTTTTGCAAATAAATCCAAAAGTTTTAATCCAAATACAAAAATCTTTTGCAGTTACATAAATATTATAAAAACAAATAAGTGTGCAAAATTTAGTGTTGTTTGAATAAATAATTCCGGAGATATTTGCGTTTGAAGTTGCAATTTTTTTCGAAAAAGTAACAAAAATTGCTAATTAAAAAACATAAAACATCAAATCCAAGTCGATATCTGTTAATGAAGCGAGCCGAGTGTAATTTATTGAAATTGGAAAATCATCATCATTGCAAACTGCGCATCTCATCGATTCCGGCCGTGGCGCTGCGGCCGGAAGTCGAAAGGAAAAAGATCGTTCGATTGATAACGCAACGAACTCGTGAAACTGGTGCATTCGCTCGTCCCTCTTTCGGCCAATAAAAGTCTGATATTTAGATATCGACATCGTCATCGTCATCATCGAATCAGAATCGGAATCTGAACCGGAATCGAAATCGCATCTCATCGCCATTGATTATGATGCAATGTAAAAACAAACTTTGGTAAATCAATAATAAATAAATTTCTTAAGTTTTTAGAAACAAAAAAAGAAACAAGAAACAAAATATATTAATAGCCGAAAGGACCGGAAATGTTATCGCCATTTGTCGAGTTCTTTTTTTCCGCGCGCCATTTGACTCTTTTTATTATTCCTGCAGGACTCTAGCAAACTGCTGATAAAAAGTGCTTTGAATGCGTAGAATGCAAACTTCAAACGTTTAAAACATGCCACGCCCATGTCATACGCATGCGCAATCACAAACATTACAGTTTTAACTTAATTATAATTTAATCTCTCTTTTAATTATATTTTGTAATTATAAAAACTAAAAACTTCACTAGCAGAAATCTGAAATTATTAAATCTGCAACTTTAAACGCAAATATCTCTTAAATTATTTATGCAATCAGTATTAAATTTTGCACATTTGTTTATTAATATACTATTTAGATATTTGCAAAAAAAGTTTTAATTTTGGATGAAAACTTTTGGTTTTATTTGAAAAAAACTTTAGAAAAACACTGAAATTTTTGTTTTTTGCCAAAACAATGTGAAAATTTAAACAAATCTTATTATTTTTAATACTTTTTATGTATTTACACTCATAATAATTAATTATTAACAATATCCGAGCATTAGTTTACCATTTTTTCATCAACTTTTACCGAAAATCAAGAAAAAAAGCTTTAAAAACAGGTTAACTCAACATTTAACATATGCAACTTATCACACACTAAATATTAAACCAAAATATCATATAAAACTTAATAGTAGTATATTTGGTTGCATAATAATATGAATACATGAATATTACGCAGAATAGGTTGCAGGTATATCAGGCGCTTAAATTTCTAGTAAAATCTAAAATTAGCACCCTGCAAACTCACATTTCCACCGCCTAGGATAAGAACTCAGGATAAGGATAAGGATGTGGATGACTGCGCGTCGTCGCTGGCAATGGCGGCGCGGCCGGAAAACACGTTGCCATGATCGCACGCACAATATCAGGCCGGGATTATCTCCGCGCCGCTAAACAATGAGTTACCTACCCACTCACGAGCACACGCATAACCTAAAATAAGGGTACGCCCGAGTACTTCCGAATTTATGTGCTGTTATTACTGATATGCGCGTTAAAACATTTTTTATATCCAAATATATACTAGTATCAAAGGTTTTGATGTCATTCGTGATTAAAGTTGCCTTTGACAGCGCACAACGCCAAAAAAAACGAAAAAAAAAAAATTCTCCGTTGGGAAATTAGCACAACGTTCAAAAA